TAACATGCCTTAACGATGCGACAACAACGCGTTTATTGGATAATATTAGAAATATGGATCCTGTGTATAAAAATGAATATTCTTTTTAAAATACTGATTATTAGTTAATTCCTCTTTAAATATTTTATGTAACATAATATGCATGTATTAAGTCTGTGTTCATATTATTAAAGAAAGAAGGCGTGTCTATCTTTTCTGTCTCCGGGACATTAAGAGATGTTTGAAGAAAAAATGCATAATTTACATAAAACAAATAATAATTATATGCCATACAACCACACCAATTACGGAACGGTTTTGAAGGGTGCTGGTAAAATTACAGGCACATGGAACTTGTTAACTTATGTCTCAGGGTGACGGGCGCAGTAGCAGTGCCTCTCAGATCTTTGTGATTTAAAGCTCTGAGTGGCACTGCAACTGTTATGGACAGGTGTGTCGCTTACCGCCAGGCGCACGACTTGTAGTCCCGTCACTTGATATCATAATAAGAGAACGAATTCAGAAAAGTTCATTTCCCCATTTGGTCCTACCGGGAATTCAGCCCGGGACCCCCTTATCCAGCACCCACAGTATAAGCCGTTTGGGCCACCGAGGTTGTTAAATGTATCTCAAGCTCGAGTCCTTCCAAATCAATAAACGTTTTCCGATAGTAAACGAAGTGATACTAAAATAAGTTACTGACAAGTGAATATTGGCATAATATATATTGAATTGGCATCGTTTTATATTGGTATAGTGTATTAATATTATCCGGTTAACACAGTCTTGAACTAATTGTACATTTAATTAAGAACAGTCATTGGCGCTGAGTTTATGCGCTGATGGTTTTTGTATAAAAATTGCAAAGTCATATCTGAAAGATTCATTAGTCATTGTTTTTCAATATTTCAATATTCTTTACTAAACGATGTATATACACTGAAGAAACCACAGAACAGTAGAAGAAACTCATTAGGGCTGGCTTTTTGTATATAAATTATGTTCTGTTTCTTACTGTTATGGCTATTGAGTTTTTATTTTAATGATTCAAGAAACAATACAAAGGTACAGACAAAAATACGTTTATTTCTTAAAATAAGTTAGTCCCATAGAAAAAATTAAATGTAAATAAAGCTAAGCCAACTCTCAAAGAGTAACTTTCAAGCAAGCGCAAAATGTGTGAACTTATGTACCGTGAAGATTGTCGTTCTTTTTATCCTTCCCTCTACTACTTTAATTTTTTTTTTAAAGATGTTTCATGGCTAGCAATGACGCTTGATAACAGAATATATTCTTTATTGCTCCCACACAACCACAAAAACAGTACATAAACAACTTCAAACTAATGTGGGCAAAGGCAGCCATGTCTAAGTATATTGCTAATTTTTAGTTGCAGTAGAGCTCCTTGTGAGAGAGTTCGTCCAAGTATTACCGCTTTACCCATTTTTGTCACCAAGCAGTAATGTGAGCATTACTGCTTTGCAATTTTAAGGAATCAGGAATAAGGAAAGGACATGAGACTTGTCAATTTATGTCTCAAAGTGACGGGCGCACTGGTAGTGTCACTCAGATCTTTGCGATTGAGTGTCACTGCAATTGCTATGGCAGGGGTTCCGTTATTGAGCTCTCTCTTGCAAAGACTGTAAACATTTCTTTCGCCTGAAGAGGATGACGACCTCTAAAAAATTTAAACAATTTAATAACAACTTATTTTCTTTTTCTATGATATCAAGTGACGGGACGAACAAGTCGTGCGTCTTCAGGAGAAATACATGTTTACAGTCTTTGCAATAGAGAGCTCAATAATGGAACCCCAGCCAAAAGAATAAAACAAAATGAAGAAAATACGAGTATTACAACCTCCTAAGGGCACGAGTAAATCAAAATGTATGTACATAATATGCGAAGTGATTCAGACACCCAGCGTAAATTATAATAAAAATATCGTGTTCAAATTTAGCTATAATTTATAGGGTGTCTAGAAAAATACGTTTTGTATACAAAACTGGGGATATATTTGTTTGGTCCTGAGGCATGTAAGTAATTATATTTAGCACGTTTAACGCTTTTCTTATTGTAGTTTGATTGTTCTTAGAAGATTAAAAAGACATGAAACGGATTTAGTGGTCTAGAATATAATTAGGAATATTATTATTAGTTTATTACATTACATTAACGCACGCACTCATAGCCCCGCATTAGGGAAACCCTATATCGCGGGTGTTATGGACATACACCTAGACAAAACCATGAACTCTCGAGATAAATAAATGTAGGCCATCGTCATCTCTGCGTGGTAGTCCAGCATGGTAATCGTTTGGCAACGGAGCCAGTATAAAAATTATATTGATAAGTAGGTAAAATAAAAGACATTTGTAGTAAAAATATGTGGGTAATACCCAACGCTATTACTGCGTAGGTTCTAAGAAACCTACTTCTATGATTGGCTACAAGTTGCCTTGCTGACCTTGACTTGTATCTACACCTTAAGACTTTATCAACGATCATTCACAGTTTCTTCGATATAAGTATACATAGTATGTGGAGCTTTTGTTCAGTGTATTAGAGATGATGACCACTATAATTATTCTTGAATAAATATTTGTTGAATATCACGATATTTTACAACCATGATATTCAATTATTTTTGTGAAATTAGTCCACTACTTTGCTAAAATAAAATTATAAATACAAAGATTGAACACAAAGTAAATTCCTTCAAACCGTCTGGACTCGAAAGGTCTGCTGTTTCGTTCTGTAGCTTATTTAGGAGAGCGTTAGTCACGGTATGGCGAGGTCGCTGGTTTTAGCCCAGCTGGATCGAAGGAATTTTTTTGTGTTCGATCTTTGTATTAACAATTTTAACAAATCAGGTTTTAATTTTATAGTGTCCACTACAAAATTTTCCTCTGATATATTTGCGAACCTTGAAATAAAATTAAAGGCAGTAGCTAACATTTCCATGCTCTTGTCTCAAACTCGTATCTTTTAAAGAGTGATTATTCAGGAGATGGCAAAACTTTCTATTTATTTTAAATTTCTTATTAAGGGTGTCAATTTGGATGCATTACTTTAAGAATAGGTAAAAGCCAGTGTGTGAATATGAAGGAAATGTGATGTGAAAGTGGCCTGCAAAATTTGTATATCACTTATTACATTTCAGTGACTTTGTGCTTTAAGGTACAAGTTTGAGAAAGTAAGGCGACGATTTGCTACAGAGCAGCACAATGCATATTTTCAGCTATCAATTCATATAATATTTATTCTCGCAAATGTTACTGAAAATGACAGGTGCAAACATTGACTTTTTGTAAGTCAATGGGTGCAAATAGCCAAAATAACAGATGCATCAAAGCTTTAATGCACAGCAATTCTCGTAGTCCTACTAGACATATGTTTTTTTTTCCATGACATTGTTGCGACCAGTGTCGACGGCCCATTTATACAGGCATGAGAGGCTCTTCATGCGACAGCCAGAAAGGATAAATTTTATAAAAAAATTGTATTTTACTGACTTAGTCATAAGGTTACAATTGTTACTAACACGATATGGAGATAATCCGAAATAAACTATTATTATTATTATTTCCTCGTGAGTTTGGGTGTAATTTGTGGTTGTCTATGTGTGTGCGGGACTATGTTGAGTGTGTACGTTATTATTATTAATTGAGCCTAGTCTGAGAGGACGGGGGCCTGGTGAGCTGTAAGTGTGAGGCCAGACGAGCGTAATTTTATGAGTTGTGAGTCGCGTAGTTTGAGTTGCGTAGTTTGTGCTGCATTTGGTATGTATCATATAAAAGTACGATTTGTTTCACACGACGATGCAAAATGAGTTATCTGTCGACTTTTAGTTGCAGTAGAGCTCCTTGTGGAAGAGTTCGTTTAGGGAAGTACTGCCACCTTACCTATTTCTGCCGCCAAGCAGTAATGTCAGCATTACTGTGTTCCCGCTTTAAATGGTAAAGGTGCTGGTGAAATTACAGACACATGGGACTTGTCAACTTATGTCTCAGGGTGACGGGCGCAGTGGTAGTGCCCCTCAGAACTTTGCAATTTAAAGCTCTGAGTGGCACTGTAACTGTTATGGACAGGCGTGTTGCTTACCATCAGGCGCACGACTTGTACGTCCCGTCACTTGATGTTATAAAAAAAATTAAAAGAAAAAGACTCCCGGGCTTAATGACGACTGACTTTCGGTCGCATCGTACGACGGGTTGGCGCGGGTGGAGGTAGGGATGAGGGAAGGGGTCACTTTGGTATAAACGCTTAAAAAGCAATTGAATAAACTACATTAGTCTAGCGCTCCAACCGAATTTCGGTCGAGCGCAAACTGGGCAACTCAAAAAAAGCAACTAAAAACTCACTAAATTACGCGCTCTGTCTCTGTCTGGCCTCACCTTAATACAGATTTAGTTGCCTAGTTCGGTCTCCAGTATCTCACAAGGGATACAATACTATTGTTAGTCCGTTAAGATCTGTTTTTGTTTTTGTTGAGATAATAAACCATTTATTATTATTATAGAATTAACTGAAAGTTTAATATCCATTAAATTTTAACAAATAAATTTTTTTTCCAAATAAGTAAGGATTACGAAATTTACAAGAATGCAAATTAACCTCGAGTCACTCGACAAACCTGTATTAGTAGGAAATTGAAGCAATTGAATAAATAAACACTTGTGATTCTATACGATTAAGCAACTCATTATCACACAGTCTTGAAGTACTTCATAAAGGTATTAGTCCGCCAAAACCGTGTTTACGTCTTGGAAATGAGAGTTGATTCTTATCTATATATTCAAATTAGGCTTGTAAGGAATACTCGTGACCGCCTGTTAAAAGGTTGTTACTAACGTCACTAAAATTAAATAAGAAAAAGTAAAAAAGGAAATACATTTCTTTAATTTAGGCTTTTTTTTAAAATTTTTTAGTAAAACAAAACTGGTAAATTTTAGTACTTATTTACTTTCTAAAGGATATCCAATCACAGATGAATTGATAAATGTGTTATTGTTACATACCATACGAAGCGGAAGATAAGCTCGAAGATGCTCGGGAACACCAGGTCGTCTGAGGCAGCTAGCCATTTGCGCCCCAGCAACCGGAGCGCCGGCATCCTGCAACAAACAACATGTTAGTAATCAATAAACTAAAAATTACAATTATTAAAGTGACATCTTTTGTCAACTGCTGGTAGCTGTAAAGGTACCTGGCTGAGTGAAGAAATAGATTTCTCCCAGAAAAAAGTCGTTAAAAACCAAAAACAATGTAACAAGCACATAGAAAAACTCGCAATATCCGCTAGTTCGTTCTATGGCTTAGTTGCTATAGCGTCTGGCACGGTTTGCTGGAAGACGTTAGTTTGAATCCAACAGTATCGAAGAAATTTTTTCTTAGTCTTCGATCTTTGTACTAATAATTATATTATATCAAAGTAGTGGATTAATTTGACAAAAATAATTTAATGTCATGGTAGTCAAACATTGTGACATTCTATAAACTTAAAAATTACAGTACAGAGCTTCGGTCACCGCCTGAAGCTCGAGTGATCGAAATTTAGCAGCTTGCTTTTGGACGGTGATTGACTCAACCCTATATTGACTATGGCCTACATGTCTGGTTTTTGTTACTGTTAGTGTACGATGTACGATATGAATGAATTAGTAAAAAATATGTTAGTAACTTGGCATACATTTAAGCTAGAATTAAAAGGCGTGATTCATTTCTGTCTCCGAGATATTAAGTTCTGGATTGAAGAGAAGAAAAGCATAATTTCCATAAAATAAATAAGAATCGTATGCCACACAACTGTACCAGTTGGCTGGTCTCAAACTTGGGAATTTCTTGTAAGCGAGAACTAAAATCGTGTGCGTTTTTTTTTAATACGGTTCCATGTGCTTCGGTGATTTGTACCAAACTGTTGGAAACTGGATTGCCATTTTTATAATATCAAGTGACGGGACGAAAAAGTCGTGGCGCCTGACGGTACGTAAGCTACACGCCTGTCATTAACAGTTATAGTACCACTCAGCTCTTTAAATCGCAAAGAAACGAGGCGCACTGCCACTGCGTCTGTCACCTTAAGAAATAAGTGTGCCTGTAATTTCACCAGCTCCCCAACACTTCAAAACCGGCGGCAGAAATAGATAAGGTGTCAGTACTTCACTGGACGAACTCTTTCAAAAGGAACTCTATATAGTACTTCGACTATTCAGATTAGGGCACCGTTATTAAATCATTAACATCCTACGGAAATCGAACTCTGGACCTTCTGCAGTTATGTAGAGTTTGTCTCTTTACTGTGCAATGACAGCAAGCCAATATAACATTAAATATAAAAAAAACTTCCTTGAAGAACAAAACATTTCTCAAACTTTCCACTTGTTTTCTAGTTTTGTATCAAAACAAGGGGGATGTTTTTGCATGCTCGTATGATCGTAAATCCGAACATTACGCATGAATTATCATGCGTAATGTGCGAATTTATATCGAGTTGCGGGTAATCGATAATTTATTACGATTTTGTAATATTTATGAATATTATGATGTTTTGTTACCACGATATATATTTTTTGTAAAATTATTCTATTAGTTTGTGTAATCAAATCAAATATTATTAATAAGAGCAAAAAAATAAGTAAAACCATTGACTTACAATTATATGGACATCGGGTCCGCGCTAAAAAGTGTCCGAACTTATAGGGCGTTAAAATCGTATACAGAGCGTCATTCACGCTTTAGTCTTCGTTTGTTCGACTGACAGCGAAGCAAGCAAAATTAGACAGTACTGCGATGACATTACAATTTAAATTCAACATTTTAGCTTTTTCATATTCCTTTACATGTCACTAAGTTTAAATAGGTTGACTTGGGACATTTTTGTCGTGGTTTTTGTATTGGACCCGTCGTCCATTTATTTGTAAGACAATGAGTAAAACATAACATTCAATATATTATAATATGACACAAAAGTCAATATTACAAATCTTAATAGCGACATCTCTTGTAAAACTCTGGTAGTTTTATAAAAGTACCTGGTTGAGCGAAGAAAAAACTTTCATAACTTGTCACAGATAGCGGTGAGGCGCAAAAAAGCCGTTAAAAACCAAAAACAACGCATAAAGAAATGGTACAAGTAGCAAATAAATTTAATTCCATTTTTGTCTCTAAATTGTATTTTGAAAATAAATAACGTACGTCCGGTAGATCTGTTCTTAGATGAAATAAGGCCTATATATACCACAGGGTACTTTAGGTACTATAACATAGGAACGTGGCTTGGATAGCGTAGCGAGAGGTACTTTATAAATATAAACGACGATTACATCATAATTATAACTTTATGCGTGTATTCAATTTCAAAGCTTTGTCCAGAACTCTTAGATGTCTGTTAGACATCAATACTCAACTATTCTTACAATTCTAATTACAAAAACTAAGCTGCCTGTACTATATCCCTTTTCGGCACAACTGACGGGGTGACCATCACTAGCCAGTGCCCTATCTATGATAGGCAACATACATATGTGACCAGCCTTTACTATAGGCTAGCCATACACTGCGCGGAAGCTATCACTTACTAACACACACAACTACCGAGAAGACTGTGGCTTTAATCTGTCATAAACCTATCTAAAAGGACAGACTATGATCACATCCTAATCAAGTAATCTAAATATATTTATTAGCTATCCTAGCTATTTAGGTATCCTAGCCTAAATAACCTACATAACCTAAATCCTACCAGAATCTTTATATAATTCCAAACAAATAACAATCCTCATCGTGCACGCTATTACGACGGCATCACAGGCTTGAACATCCATCGGGCGTCCACTGGGGAACATCAATATTGACTTCCCAGCTGCCTTAGTCCTCGTCCTGCAGCTATCTACGTTCCGTCAGATTTTCTTACTTTCTTAATACAATTCACCAAAAAGGACACACGAATTATCCTAACTGCAACAACAACATAAGTAATATTATATGGCGATATATCATACTGACGTTTCCTACTAATTAAACAAATATATTTTCCCTTGAATGCAGACAGTTCTGTTCATGTGGACGAATGACCAACAACAATACACAGAATACATCCATAAAATGAAAAATAAAAAATAAGTTATATTCATCCAAGTCGGTAGTCCATCTTCCCTAGGCAGCTTAGGTTTTGTATTTAGAATTGTAAGAATAATAGAGTGTTGATGTCAAACAGACATCTAGGAGTCCTGGACAAAGCTTTGAAATTGAATACACGTATAAAGTTATAATTATTTATTTATTTATTTCATACATACATCTATTTTTACAGGCTAAACCTAATACAATAGTGTAGCATATCAAAGACATGAATAATTACTAAACATAACTAAAAATAATATAATAATGATTGAATTAAAAACAATTAAATTATATCCAATTTCTACTGAAGTATATAACCAATAATATTAAACAAATTTAACTAGGAACTAAGTAAAAATAGTGTTGTCCTCTTGAATTCGCTCTGAAAACAAGAAAAAATATCTCTTTCATCCGCTACTCGATTCAGTTTATGAATGGTGCGAGTAAGGGGTGCCTTGTTGAGCAAATTTGTCCTACCTCGCGGCACCGCCAATAGTCGTGGTTGTCGGCGCCTGCGCACGTATTCGTTTGGCATGCATCCGGGCAAACCCGGAAGTGTTGCAATCACTATGTCTGTATTATTATCAAAGATTATTATTATCATTATCAGTATTAGTATTATTATTATCAGAGGGGATTAATATCAAAATATTAATCCCCTCAATACTCGCACTATGTAATTTGCTAGAGCCAATTCCCTTCTCGGTTCCAACTTGTTGTATCCAACCATACCTAATACAAATAATGTTGGATACATCAAGGGATAGAAAGGGTATACCCCATATAGCCTCATATACAAGTATCTTGTGAATTTATTCTGGATACGTTCGAGCATGAGATTATAATTCGCATCGTACGGAGCCCATATGACTGAGTTAAACTCTAACTGACTCCGTATCAAAGCGTTGTACAATGTGGTTATAGCTTTGATATTTCGGCGAATCACAAAACCCAAACTTCGATCAGCTTTCTTACAAACATTTACTATATGGTCCCTAAAAGTCAACTCCGAATTCAACTGTACTCCCAAATCCTTCACCGCGTCCGTACGTTGCATAAGTACCCCGTCTACTTCGTAGTTACACTGATGTGGCAGTCTTGATCGGCCGAATGTTATAATTTGGCATTTCGACACATTGAATTGAAGTTTGTTCTTTCGACTCCATTCAACTACTCTATCCACATCTTGTTGAAGGCGAACACAGTCCTCTCTTCCTTTGATTTCCATAAGCAACCTGAGGTCATCTGCGAAAAGTAAACATCTGGCATTTTCTACTACCTTTGGCAGATCATTAATCATAATAATGAACTCTAATGGCCCCAAATTACTTCCTTGGCTCACGCCCGATTTCGTTAAGTACGACTGCGATTTGCAACCTTCATATTCCACGCACTGCCGCCTGTCTCTCATATAACTCGCAAAAAAGCGGAGAAATTTTGGAGTACATCCGACCGCCGCTAATTTTGACAGCATTGTCGTTATCTACTAAGTCAAAAGCCTTTTTATAATCAAATTAAGCGGCGTCGACTTGCCATCCCGCATCGACCTTGGACACTACATACTCCATGGCGCTGAGGAGGTTGCTGGTAGTACTCCGCCCTGGCCAAAAACCATGTTGCGCGTCCGACAATTGACTTGCCACCTGCTCCTGTAAACTCCGCTGGATGGCGGATTCGAACACCTTCGCAATCGTTGACAGAATAGCCACCGGTCTAAAACCTTTCACATCTGTACCCGCTCCTCCCTTGTGTACAGTAATTACGCGTGTAACTTTCCACCATTCCGGGAAGTATGACGTATCCAGGCATAGATTATATATATGTGTTAGTGGTTCCTCCAATACGCCACTACAATCACTCACCACGAACGTCGGAATCTCGTCGGGGCCCGCCGATCGTTTGGGCTTGAGACGCATGAGCGCCGAGCGCACCTCCCGCAAGGTGAGCTGCGGGAGGTGCACCCGCGCGCTGCTGGCTCCGCCTGCCTATGCCG